TATATGCTATGAAGCTAGTGGGAGCTAGAAAGCACTGGTTATGTTCCTCACATTGTCTTGGGCTTTCTACGAGTGTCAACAGTATACTGAGAGGAATACTACTAGCTACAAGGTCTGTCCCAGAAGAAAGTTTCCCTCTTCTGTGAAATAAATAATTTTTATTTTACAAACATGAAATTTTGTACAAACCTACAGAAACATGTTTCCCATTCAACATAACACAACTGTTGATCTTAAAGCACTTATTTGTTTTTGGATGAGAATTGTGTTTCCGTTGTGTTTGTTTATTTGTTTGTGTGCTTGACTAAAATGGCTTGTTTTATTGTATTAGAGAAAAGCTTCTGATCCTTTTTCCCAGTGAATGTACTAAGGAAAAATGCTGTATGTTTCTTTTTCCCTTTCCCTCTCTGGTGTAGCTGACCGTGGCGAAACAGCTATGTGAGAAGCGACTGGTGGCACTCGGGGAGACCATCTACGACACGGAGACGCAGACGTCTAGCACCAAGGAGGAAATACCCGGACAGAAGGTACTCGTGGGAAACATGGTAGAACCTGCTGTAATGGCCGCCTGTTTAGAGTTTAATAAAAGTTTTACTGAGCTCGCCACTGCATCGTCCGCTTGTTTAGTTTCGTATATTGAGAGTTTTACGGCGCTCGCCACTGCATCGGCAGCTTCTAAGAGACATTCACCTGCATACTCTGCCGCTTGTATGAGACATTCACCTGCATACACGGCCACTTCCCATTTCCCCTGTTGCATTTTTTTTAAACGTGATAATAACATTGTGTAAGACATCCATATATATATTGAAGAGTCACTTTTTTAGTGGGGAGGGGGAGGGGAGTTTCTGCCGCATGCATAAGATATGAGTTTGATTCTGGGGAAGGGGAGGGGGAGGAGAGATAGGAGGGAGGAGAGGTTAGGCTTTTCACTGTCACATACAGATGATATATGAATTTGATTCCTGATGGGTGGGGAAAGGGGAAGACGGGGAGGGGGGGGGGAGGGCTATTGATGAGTTTTGGCTGTCCGATGCAGCCCTGTTGCCAGTGAAGAAATAAGCCTTTATCTGTTGTCTACATGTACCCCTCAACCAACATCTCAACCGAATTAGAGTAAAGCAGTCTGCTGCCTGCCCACTATGTGACTACCCCTCAGAGACAGTGGAACATCATCTGTTCTTCTGTAGAAAACTAACTGATTTAAGGGGATGTTTTCTTCCCAAGCTACCCCACACATCTAATTGCCTCTACTCCTCAAGACAACAATTAGAACAAACATGCAGCTATTACCGAATGGCATCATGCAGAAGAGTTAACGCTCAGATGCTACTGGATCGCTAACAACAACAACATCTGTTGTCTATCATACATAAGCATCTCTGAAGCTTTTTATTGTATATTCAGGAGGCACTGGTTTTCTGCTTCGTCATTTCTTGGATATTTTCTTCCTTGTGTGACTTAAGTTTTTATATATTTTTTTTCTTGCTGTTGCAGGTATTTTCCTTCTCAGTGATCATGGAGATGCCCCAAGGAAGAGAATATTTTATGAAGTTCCTGAAGAAGGAAGGAGCGGAGTCCTACTTGGGGTAAGATGTCATTGCGGATGTAGGAAAAAGGAGTAACTCTTGATGAAGTGGTCCTGCAAGGTTTTCTTAATGACGCTCGTTTTCCATTATTTGCAGGTTTCAGGAACTAAATATTTTGTATCTTGGTAACTGCCATCCTTTGTTGAATTTTTGTTCAGCTACTAAAATGTGCATCATTGTTAAATATGAAAATTTATGTCTCAGATTTACATGTATTGTTTTTCTTTAATCTCTAGGTTTTGGAATGGAGTTGACAAGTTAAAATCGACCGCAAAGGTATGTGTAGCTTGTTGTGATGTTTTAAAACCCTTTCTTGAAATGCTTTGCATTGATTGCTGTATCCTTTTGCTATTAGAAAAGGGTTTGAAACTTTAGCAGATAAAAAATGCATTTTTGTATTGCAATCAAGTAATTTCAAATGCATCACTCCTGTAGATGAAAACAGGTACATGTTCGTCTATGTTTGGAGAGCTCCTGTGGCAGATGTTCTCTTTTTTTCTCTTGTTTTTATCTGGCTATATTGATTTTACTCAACACAAATTTGTTTATTTTTGTCTTCGACTCGCACCACAAACTCTACTGATTATATCCCTTTTCAAGACTGGCATTTGTAGTATAGTGGTGAGGCTTTTCACTGTCACAAAGAGAAGACATGGGTTTAATTCCACTAATTAGAAAACAAAAACTCAAAAAAATAAAAGCAACCCCACCAAAAAGCGCCAAAAAGCCCAAACCAAAGAGCCCCCCCCCTTCAAAAAACACCCACCAAAAAAGCTTTGTTACAGTGACAATTTTGTTGTGTTTCGCTCGCCAGGATCAGCGGCACCACGCGGCCAGCGAGCTGTACCAGCAGTACATCACCAGCACCTCCTCTCTGGTCCGCGTGGACAAAGCCGTCCTCAAGAGCATGGAAGAGTTCCTCAGGGGGGATAAGGTGAGACGTGGGCCTGTCCTGTTATTAACTGTGTCTGTTGGTATCAAGCTGGACGACAGAGTGGATGGCTTTGGTTTGAATCCCGGATGGGGTTTTCTTGAGCTGTGGTCATTTTGTGGAGTTTTTGAGGCTCTCAGCCTGTTAAGCTTGGTCCTATTAGAACTGGATGTTGAATTGGGAGGTCCCGCCCTCCTATATGATCTAATAGTGTTGATAGGGGTGTTAGACCTGTACCCTGAAGATGGCAGCTGATTCTAGATGCAACATGGTGTGCAAGATAGTGCTTGATACTGCATGCTAGATAGGACATTATGCTCCGAATGTTGCTTGATACTACAGACTAGACATGACATGGTGCTCACAAATTTAATTGATTCCTCATGCTTGATGTGGCATGTTGCTCAGGATGTTGCTTGACTGTACACTTCTTTAATTAGAAATTTCTTACTCTTGGTACTTTTTTTTTCATTACAAAACATTTCATGTTGACCTACTCAACAAATTGTCGCCAGGTGGTTGAGAACAGAAACTTGTATCATGGTGTCTAAGACAGGGCATTCTGATGTACATCTGGTTCACCATGGAGCTCACCGTTTGACTTGTTTTGGAATCAAATACAGGGCAAAGAGGGAAAAGGCTGCACGTGCACACAACTAGCGAGACTGGTGTTCGGCCTTCATTAGTGTGTCCAGGGTGTGGCAGCGATGACAGTGCCCGGTTGCGGATATTATAATTCAATTCTATAATTGGGGCAAATAGACACGATACACACAAGTAGTGGATATCAAAGTACTAGTACTAATCCCATTTCTGTTCTTTTTTCATCTTTTTTTTTTTCCATCAGGGACCGGATGCGTTTCTAATAGCTCAAAAGGACGTTCAGAAAGTTCTAGAGGACCAGTACTACCCATCCTTCATCGTCAGCGACACGTACTTCCAGCTGGCAGCGTCCCAGAGGGAGGGCGTCACGTCTGACGATGAGTCGGTAGCCTCAGGTCTGAAGCTTGGAATGTCCTGTTGTTGTGTAACTCTTCTATGTTTGGCAAGCCACTCTCAGTGGCTTCTTGCTGTTGGATCTGCTGTGCCGGTGATCCGCTGTCAGTGGCTTGAGCAAATTTCTTGACTTTGATGACGATGATTTATAATATTGATTTTCGGCAATTGCCAAAAGAAAGTCTCTCTGACTGGAAATTCTTTCATTAGATGAGGCCGTATCAAAATAGATTTGTTTGTTTTTATTTAATGACCAGTTAAATGGTATGTATGTCACTTTCAAGTTTTGAACCAAGAGACGGTTCCAGTATAGTGGGGAAACCCTCTGGATTCTTTTGTTAACAAGTTGAGTATCCTGGTCTTCTGCTGGGATGTTGTATCCCTCTCCGCCCAGGTTGGTTTTGGCAGGCAGGGTCGGAAGCCAGCCTCCTAAATGATTTAAATTATGTTGATGGAGGTGTAAAAGCGCTTGCATCTAAATCTGAAAAATAAATTGTCCAATCTAGATGAGCTGTTCCTGGACTCGACCACTGAGCACTATGACGATGAGGAGGGTCTTATTGCCGGTCAGTCCTACCACGCCCAACAGCAGCTGCGGGCCCTGGACAGCAAGATCACCAACAAGGCTCGGGCTCTGATGGCTCAGAGGAGCTCTCAGAAGACAGAAGTCAATGCCAAGGTAAACCAGTGGGTGGCGTTGATAGTTGTGGGTCATTTGGCAAGTTGCTGAGGTCAGAAAGTGGCGTTGGTGGCTTAGTGGTTAGGCTCTCCGACTCGCAACCGTGAGGTCGTGGGTTCGAATCCCGCTTGGGGCCCGACGTTGTGTCCTTGGGAAAGGCACTTTGCATACATTTTCCCCACTTCACCCAGGTGAAAATGGGTACCCGGCTATAGACAGTGAACGATCTTGTCAGTTTGATAGTGTTTGAACGCGTGAAATCCGCTGCTTGCACTGTATGCTTCCGCGGAAGCCGAGAATGTTTCTGGGTGCTCTTAGAGGGTCTGCTGGGGTAATAATGGTTGTAAGGGGCATAGAGCATGCTCTAGAGCATGGATATGCGCTATATAAATGCAATTATTATTATTATTATTAGTTGATGTGGGTGATTTGACAAGTTGCTGAGGTCAGAAAGTGCTAATTGTTGTGGGTGATTTGACAAGTTGCTGAGGTCAGAAAGTGCTAATTGTTGTGGGTGATTTGACAAGTTGCTGAGGTCAGAAAGTGCTGAGGCAATTCTATGTTGAGATAACCCGTTTGAAATGAAGAGGAAGATACACAAATACAGTCAAGCTTACTCAAATGGCCACCTGTATAAGACAATCACCCGCATAAACGGCCACTTCCCATGTCCTCTCTTGCACTTTTTTTTTACATTATAATGACACTGTGTAAGACATTCACCTGTCTAAGATGGCCACAATTCTCCTCTATAGTGGGTGGCTGTCTCAGACAATTTCAACTGTGTAAGTAAATAAAGAGGGAGATATACAAATATAAATGGATGGTCAGAGGAGACAGCTGGCAGCTTCTATTTGTTATCTTTCCATCTGTGTTTCTGTCAGTCTGAAATTCTTTTTGCTCGCACTAAGAGACCATTATTGTATAGATATGCTTCTCTTTTCTAAAAAATACTTCCAAAAATATAGATATTAATCCAACATGCAGGTAAAAAGGTTTAATTGATTTAAACAAATGTTAGTGTTTGAAATTTATTTTATGAATGATGTTAACTCTGCCATTGTAAAACAAATCTGTATATAGATGAATACATGATTTGTTTTTTAAAATCTTATTTCAGCTGCAGAAAGTGCATGAGGATATGGAGAAGGAGCTGGAGAGCTTGAAGCAAGAACGCCGCAGCTTGGAGATGCACATTGCCCGCACACAGAAGTGGATCGACCACATCGGGCAGTGGAATGTGCTCGTCTATGACGCCTCTGTAAGGAATTGAGCTGCTGTTTTGCTGAATGGAAAAGACAATTTGAAGAGCGCTTGTACTTCTTCTTCTCGATCACATCACACTTTTGGCTAAAACAGCACCTGGACATGGATGGCTGGTACCTCTATAAATAAATCATTGATGGTCTGGCCGCATCACACTTGAAGTCTGGTATCTGTCATAAATTGGGCCGTCCTGCTCAGTTCATCTGTCGGCCCGTATAGCTTCTCTTGCAGCGTCAGTGGGGTTGGCCACGTTTCCTGTCTCAGGGCCCTGTGTGTCTTGCAATGCTGAAGGATGTGTTCAACAGTTTGATCTAGAGCGCTTGTATGGCCTTAATAGTTGGGAGTACCGTAAAGCTCCTACCAAACTTAAACGGCTGTGACATTTCAAAGTTTTTCTTTCTTGTGTGAAAGATTTTTGTTCTTTTTAAAGGATGTGGTTCACTTAATTGGTTTTTCAAGGGAGTTCCTGTGAAGTTTTAAAAGCTGTGTTTGAGAAGAAATACATGATTATAAAATAAGTTTTGAGGTTTTTAAAATTTAACAGAAGATTTATTGCACATTTATATAATCACGTGGTGGTATTGATTGAGACTTTCAATCATTCACTTTCTTTTTTTAATAATATGGCATTTTGTTTATTGCTTATTCCTCTTTTTTCCTCACGTCATCACGAAAGTATGGGTGGTTGGCAGTTGCTCTAGTGTGGTTTGCTCTTTTTTTCATATCAAACATCTTTCTTTCTTTACTATCAAACATCTATCTTTCTTGTCTCTCCTTCTTTTTCTTTTTTGCTTTTGTCTCTCTCTTGTAATACCTCTAATCTTTGAGTCTCTATGTGACCCAATTGTGTCACAAGCGCCATAAAACTCTTACTAAAACAAATTTCAAAAGTTTTCACCTTCAACTATTGTCATCAGGCAATCTCCACAGAGGAAGCTTTTGATTGGGACTTTTAAATGTCAATTTTTCCTTTTTGAATAAAATGGCATATTGCTAATTCTTCAATCCTTTTGTCCCCTCACATCGTCTCAGAAGTTTTTACATTCTCCTGTCGTCCCCATCAGGCAATCTCCACAGAAGAAGACAAAAAGGTTGCCCAGTTTGTCCTGCTGGTGTCGCTGTCCGCCGAGGGACAGCTGAGTCCCAAACAGAGCAGCGGCTCCACCGAGGGCTGGGCCATCTCCCGCACGCTCGACGACTTCCACGCCCTGCACGAGAAACTCTCGCCGGTCAGTCTTCTCACTGGTGATGGGATTCTGATACAGTTGGATAGAACTTTATTCAGATACAACGGGGATAGAGCTTTATTCAGATAGAATGGGAATAGTACTTTATTCAGATACAGCGGGGATAGTACTTTATTCAGATACGATGGGGATAGAACTTTATTCAGATAGAATGGGAATAGTACTTTATTCAGATACGATGGGGATAGTACTTTATTCAGATACAATGGGGATAGTACTTTATTCAGATACGATGGGGATAGAACTTTATTCAGATACGATGGGGATAGTACTTTATTCAGATACGATGGGGATAGTACTTTATTCAGATACAATGGGGATAGCACTTTATTCAGATACTATGGGGATAGTACTTAATTCAGATACAGCGCTGATAGTACGTTATTGCAATGAATACGAAGACACATAAACACAAAAATATTAGCAAAGACTTATGAATATATTTGATAAATGCATGCCTCTCTTATTTTTGACAGAGCCTAATATTTATTAAGTAAAGTAATGTTAAAACAAATCTTATTAACTCTTAATGATTCCTTGTTTTTCAGCTCACATAGCAATATTGCATAAGAGGATAATTTGTTTAATGAATGACTGAAGGAAAACGTTGTATTTTGTAAATGAAAAGGCAAAATTATACTTATGAAGAAGAGTAAAATTCTAGTTCCACAATGTAGACAGAAACTGCGTTTAGACACACACACACACACACACACACAAACACAGTTATCGAACCTGTTTGCTTTTGTAAAAAAAACCCCAACACAGCCTAAAATGTGTTTGCTGTTACTGT